ATTCTAATTGTCGAACAAGCACTGTACAGCTGGGACAACAACACATGGGCAAATCTGTCTCCAAAGCTGCACAATTATCAATTTCATGTAACATATAATTACTCGCCTGAACGCCACTCGTGTCTACTAGCGTCTCTCACATGCAAATTTAATTAGTTCATAAACAATTTAGCAGCCATTAGCGAAGCGGGAGGAATGACTGGGTTAAACGAGAGAGAGAATGGAGGGGGGTAGTAAAGAAAAAAAGAGCAAAAGAAGTGGGCAGGTTAAGCATGATGCACACTGTATGCAGATGACTGGTGTGAAATCAATATAATGAGACCCATGTGGAGAAACATGCTTTTTTAATTACACACGCTGGTTAGAACAACACTTAAAGCAGGAGATGAGCTGAGATGGGAGATTTGAAAACATATTGCTTTTAGTGGATTTGTATAATTATCTGTATGGATTGTTAGTTCATGTTTATGAGAAAATGATGAGGGAAAAGATATTAAGCACGTCTTCATTGAATGTTTTGATCAGTGCTGCCACTGGGGAGTGAAGCTTGTCACATTTGACATTTTATGAAACATTTCTGGGCTTCTGTAGCTATAGGCCCTGTTTATACAGACGGAAACTCAAACTGCTTAACAAACAGGATAGAAACAACAATTTACTTCACTTTTTTCTTGTGTAGCCCTACATCAGAACAGAAGTTATCGGAGGACTTTACAAAATCATTGAATTTGCCAACACAGATCAAAGAATAAAACAGTTCAAACACAAGAAATGATACTCCTGCATTCATGGCAAGGAAAAACTCAGTGAGAAACAGTGAGAAACATCAAGGAAGTCCACATTGAGAGAGGGATCCCCACCCGCAGACAGACGGGCTGTAGATCCAGGACTCAGGCTACAGAACTAGGACCGAGGCCATGCGATGCAGGACTAAGTTGAGGTGGCTTCTGGGAGGGGAGGGGCCCATGAGTCAGGCCAGGGAGGACAGCCCGCATATGTCGAAGGAGGAGGCCGGGTTCAGTGGTCCTATCATCATCATCCCATGAAACAGACAATTGGACAACAGGGGAATAGCATTGAACAGACTACAGCTGAAGTCATAATGATGACGGATAAAGTAGGAAAGAGGAGCACATAGGGCTCAAGTTACCATATCTGCAAACTGACTCCATAAGTAGCTAGACTGACAATCTGTGTTTTTTAGACGTAAAGGTGTATCTTTAAATCTTACCTGAGTCTTACCTACCTGACCATATGCTACATTAAAGAGGACTGTTTTAAGCCTGGCCTTGAATGTAGAGACTGTGTCTGCTTCCTTAACAGTTCTTTTTGAGACTTTAGGAACCACCAGACTGCTGGCGTTTGCGAGCGCAGTGCTCGGTTACAGAATATCATTATGGTAGAACTGTGACAAATGTAAACAATAAAACACACACACCTCATGAGTGAAGCTGAAATTCATCTGAAAGCAATTGTTCAATTTAAGAAAGATTTTCAGGAAAATAAAAATTTAAAGGAATGTATGACACTAGCTTGACAGATTTTGAACTAGTTCAACAATTTATTTTGTAATGACTAAAGCAATGAAATGAGGACTATTGGCTTTATAGGGAAAGAGTATTCAGAAGTCATACGTATGTTTCAGTCTGACAGACGGGACAGAAGCAGAGGAGTCGTGTATCGCAGCTCTGAACAGTCTCTGTGAGGTCTATGGAGAAGTGTAGAGGACAGTGTAATGTGTTCACTGACACTAAATGATCAGACCGATGGGTTGTGTTTGTACGTTTACTCTGCACTCCTTCCTAATACAGTACAGACGTGTTGCTGCAGCTGTTACTATTTGTCGGCTCGCGCGTATGTTAGCAGAGTATGTGGGGCTTTCACAGGTAGTCCGTACAAAAAGTATTGTCAAAACATTACAGACAGTATGGCCATAGAACTATAGAGCAGTAAAATCCACATGCATGTGTTTGTCCTCATGGTGTCTGTGGCTGCTGTGGTCAGACGAGAGTCTCTATAGGCTGCGTGAAGAGGATAGACCCGCGCACGTGCGGCCGTTATGTGAGATGTCAGTGAAAATTACAGACATTGCTTAACCCGTGCGAATGCGCTGTCAGATCTCAGACGTTCTTCGTGAATATCACAAATTACCAGGGGTCCCCATGTAAAACTCATCCCGTCCGAATAGGGCTTTAACTGTTGATTCTCTGATCTGTGTTGGTGATTTAAATAGTTTTGTTAAGTCCTCTGAGATGACTACTGTAGTGATTTATTTCCAGGAATAAATTGTATTGTATTGTATCGTATTGTATTCTTGCACTAGAGTGTATCACAGACTATTCATACAAGTATATATTACCTTGCACAAGAATACACAGATTTTTATCTTATATGTTTATATTGCTATAAAATGTGTTTCTTTATTGAGCTAAAGCTACAGATTGTATTTATTTATTTTCTATTATAGTGTTGTGCTATACTTGATATTAACTTATTTTGTGTTGTGTGCTCTTCATTCCTACTGTTCTGTAACTTGTGACGCAACACTGACATTTCCCCACTGTGGGACAAATAAAGGATCTCTTCATCTTTGTGTTTTCCACCACACTTCTACCAGTCAGAAAAATAAAGGCAGCCCGTACAGTACAGCGTGTCTATACAGTGAGTGTGGGTAATGCAGTGTACTGGCTTTCACCCTGAAGTGGACTCAGCGGAGCGCAGAGAGAGGAGGCCCAGACCTCAGAGGCTAAGTGCCACGGAGCGACAGAGGCTGCAACCTCGAAGGGACAGGCCACAGCGTTTCCTTCCAGCCGCCTCCTCCAGATGGGAAGTGGCAAGTGGGAGAAGCGGAAGGGAATCGTATCGACATGTTCTGCCTGGGCGAACCCTCAGTCGGGCCATTAGCTGTGCTGGAGAGCCACTGGGGAGAGCCCAGATTTCACTTCACTGTCAGAGCAGACAGCAGTGACTGTGGTCAAAGTCTGAAGTGTAATCAGTAATGAGGACGAGGAAGGACGCCGCCGTGTGAACCAAAATTACTGACGATAGTTTTCTGCAAACTATGTTGCCTTTAATATGCATTATTCAACATGATATAAATTTAAACATAACATAAATTTAAAACTCAAGTTTTTTTCCTTTTAGAGCCATAATCTACTTTGTATCAACATTTCTAAAACTCTCAAATTTGATCATTATATTAAAACATCCTGAAATTGTAATTCATTATTTACTAATTATTTTGATAAAATGCAAGTGATATTATTTGTTTAGAGCTAAAGAGGGTGGGACAAAGTCAGTAATCATGTAAATAGGTGGGACAGTCGAACCCTCAGAGTTATTGCTTCATTATTCTCTTCAAAACCTCTTTAAAGAGCTTACAGCTGGTTCAGAATACAGCAGCAAGGATCTTAACAGGCACCAAAAGAAGGGAGCACATAACTCTGATGTTAAAATCACTCCACTGGCTTCACGTGGAGAACAGAACAACGTTTTCAGGCAATAGTTTTTGTTTGGCTTTCCCTACAATTGTAAACGTTCACAAATCAACGAGTTCTCCAAACTCAAGATGTCTGGATTTATTGTTGTTGGGTTATCATTAAAGTGAATGTAAGAATATTCAGTTTTGAACAACTTTGGGTTGACCTACATTGGAATTTGGAAACTTACCATTCAGGTGTTGAAACCAAGCTAATAATTATCCACATTGTCCACATTGGGGTCTTTTGTGTAAACTATGTTGCAAGACGATGTCCAGCAAGTGGTTAATCTGTAACTTCACCTAGTTTTGGACTTTTCCGTTGTACGGTTGGGTTTTAAAGCTGCCTGCAGAGCAAACAAGCAGGACTTGTCTTTATGGCTGCAGAGGACGCAGATGCCTCCTCACCGCCATAAAGCCATTCCCTCCTTGTTGCATGCAAGTAGAAACTAATACCTTGTCTGTTGTATGCTTCTGTCCAGATAACTGGAGTAGAACTTGTTTTTAATATTTTTTATAAAGGTTGTTTGTATGTTCTGTGAAGCTCTTTTTGCACATGATTCCAATTGTTTTTCTCTAAGATGAACAGAGGTTCTGTGTTTGTAATGTGTGTTCAACTCAAGGCTGTCACCTCTTTAATGTACATGGATTGTGCGATGTTTGTTCCGTTTTGTTAATAATTTTGAGTTGCATTGTCAATGAACTGTACCACACAATGAACTGTTCCATCACCAAAAAGCCTTTGGTGATGGATCAATAAACTTCTCTTGATGCAGTAGAACTCCTGCCTCTAATTCAAACCGAAATTCAATGTCAGACAGTCAACCACCAACACAACATTTATTGCCTGGACTCACCATGCCTGCTGCCAGCTGTAGGCCAGTCCCCTTTACACCAGTGTCAGATTAAGGAAACATGCACTCAACTTTGTGATTATGTTGTGTCTGTAAAAAGTTCTGATGAAGCTTATAGTTACCTTTAATCTTATTCCATTGACTAATTGGTCCTTCAGGCCTTTGGACTAATTGGGCCTTCAGGCCTTTGGGCCTGAAGGTCGTGGGTTCGAGCCCACCATAAGACCTACTTCACGACTCCCACTGATGACTGCTGTCGTTGTGTCCTTGGGCAAGACACTTAACCCCACTTTGCCTGAAGCCCCCGCTGAAAGATCTCAGCTCCTGTGGACTCACCACCTGCAGGAGGATCAGTGAGGGGCTGGTGCTCTGTGTACTGGGTGCAGCTCTGACTGCCACCCCCCCAACCCAGAAATGGATTAAGGGGAAGAAAATGGATGGATGGATGGAGGTCGCCATTCAGAACTATGAAGAAAATTGTTGAACCTCAATGCAACCTCTTTCTCAATAACACAGCATTAGAATTCTGCACTGAGCTGTTCTGAAAGTTTAAGAGCCTGGTAAAGTCCATGCTCTCCTTGTAAGGCATGCATATTCTTACCCTCTCATTCCCCTTACCACTCCCCCCTCTCTGCAGTTCATGACAGCGGTGACAGTCTGTGATCCATATGCCAGCCGCCTTTTCAGATGTGCCCGAGCTTGGAGCAGGAAATCTGGACCGAGCCCTGTCAAAACCTGCTCTCGCCAAAGACAGTCAGTGCCAGTGCCGATCACTCCCAGCCGCCTCTGTCGCCATCCGAGAAAGTCTGAATGCATAATAACAGTGCGAGTCTTCTGCCTGACATTCTTCTGCTAAAGTGAAAGCAAACAGAAGCATTTGTTTTATGTATGTGTTAATAATCTACACACTATCTTCCTGTTTTCAAAGGTTCATTTCACTAGGTTTCCAAAAGACCACCGCAATAAAATCATAATGGACTTGGACATGGGAAACATCGTGAAAACAAAAGAACATACTGTATCGTATTTATTTAAGTTAACCTTTATCTAAACAGGGAAGTCCCATTGAAATTAAGGACCTCTGGACAAGAGATGGATACAAGAGGTGATTGATCAGGAATCACGGCCGATGGACCATCAACAAAGACGAGGAGGATCAAACATGGGACTCACTTCTCTATAGACCACAGCGCGGTGGGGGACGTGGTCAGCACTGGCCACATCTGGTAACAACAGCTGAAAAGAGACACATCAAACCATCACATGTCGCCTCTGACCAAAGCGGAAGTCTACTGCCCAAACATGTGGTATTAAGCAGGACTAGCCTCTTTGCACTTGTGTCTTATTAGAAGAACCTTCTAAGCCCCTAAACATAGGTTTCCACCTACATAAGTCTATGCTTAATTCCATTCAGCAAAGCTTAATTTAATCCATCAAGTTAATAATAAACATAGTAATAAAAACATGTTAAAACATTGGAGCCAACCATAAAGTAAAATAACCCCAGAATATGAATTTGTAATGAAGATGAGTGTCTGCGTCACAATTTCTATATACTTTTAAGATAATTTTCAGGTAAGTTATGTCAATCTTTATTTAGTCTCACCGACCAATTTCATATTTCAAACAAAATTAGACTGAAAAATACAGTGTATGCACCTTGTTTTATAGAGATACAGTAGAGCTCAGTCACACAGAAGTAGCTTCTCTACATAAAGAGGAGCCAGTTGGGCTGTTTCGGGTCCAGCAGAGAAGGACCACAGCACACTTGAGGGACTACGTCTCTCAGCTGGCCGTGGAACACACAAGATTCCCCCAAAAGAACTGAAGGAGGTGTGTGAGGATGAAGAAGTCTGGACATCTTTGCTTAGGCTGTTGCCTACGTGACCGGCAACGGGAAAAAGCTGAAGAAAATGGATAGATGGATTAACAGTGCTTTGTGAAACTTTGTACACAACTTCTCCACCTGCTGTGTGTGTGTGTGTGTGTGACCTCATCTGTAAAATGTGCTATTCACAAAATTCACATCAGGCCATTGATCTACAAAGGCCACATCTACAGCTAAGAGGAATCTCATCGCTCCTGTATAATTTAATGTATTCAAAGCAATGCTCATCTGCACCGTATGTTTACCTGTGTTGAACTCTGCAACAGCCTGCACATACCAGCTGCTGTCTCTCACCTTGTACTGTGTGTTTATGTCTGTGTGTGTCTGTGTGTGTGTGTGTGCGCGTATTTATATGTGTACAAGTATATGTCTGAATGTGTGGCTTTGTCTATCACACTTCTGTAATGCATGCTTTGGCACGAGTCTGGGGACCTGCCGACCCGCCGTTGCCCTGGTTTCCATACGGGGGAAAACGAGCATCTCCGCAGGAACAAAGCCCCAACCTTCAGAAGTGCGCGAAGTGAAAAAATGCATGCCAAATATAGACCAATAACAGTGAACGAAGTAATGATCCCGTTTGCCAGTCTTGGCTCGAGCTGGGTGATAATTCATTAGAGTGAGAGAGGGTCAAGCAGCGGATACCTTTATTGGATCCTTCATATAGATTAAGGGATTGTTTTATCATTCACACCTTTTGCAGCGAGTTTTGGGATATTAAATAAATTAAAGAAGAAATCAAAGTCACAGGCTCAACATCTGTGAGGTTTTCCTTCTACCACCACATGAAATATATTTGTACACAACAAGTTTTCTCCACTCCATAACATCTATCTTAATATATGTAAAGACGTTTGTTTTTTTCACAACTCCAAATAAACTGAGATGAACCCAAAGTGGTTAAAAACAGTAGTATTGAAGTATAAATATTTAACATTTGGTAACACTTTATAATACGTTACAATAAGGTCTACATGTTTTTCCTTGAAATAAGTAATATAAGGTAAAACAGTATATATTATTGAAGTAATCTGTATTTGGCGAAAGTTTCAATATTGTACTTTTTATTTGCTACTTTAACTATTTAGAAAATCAATACTATAATCATGGGTAATTGAGGAGTTTGAACTCCAGTGTCCAAGGCTTTTGTTGTGTAGATCAATAAGGCAGATATCAAATTTTCAGAAGCAAATCCTTGAATAATGACCCTCATTGTTTCTATCGACCGTAAAAGTCAGTATTTGTATTTTTAAAATCACCCAAATATTGAACTATGTTGCTGCAACCAGACATTGAACATATGTGTCATAAAGACATAATTATGATCAAAATCTTGTTTTATTGTGGTAATATTTCCATCCACCCATCCATGTACTTTTTTTTCAGCTTCATCCGTTGCCGACCCGGATGTGGAGGCAGCAGTCTGATGAGACGCCCAGACTTTCCCATCCACACACACTTCCTCCAGCTCATCCAGGGGAATCTTGAGGGGCTCCCAGGTGAGAGATGGGGCCTCCTCCCGGTGGGACATGCCTGGAGCACCTACTCCAGAAAGCATCCGGAACAGAGGCCCGAGCCACCTCAACTGCGGAGGAGCAGCGGCTAGCGCCCAGCCACTCTGTGGAGGAACCTTATTTCGACCGCATTTTTTGTTTTAATTTATGCATTTACAATTCATTATTGCTACAGTATCTTAATTGGTGTTTTTCTTATTTTGTCAAGCACTTTGAGTTGCCTTGAAATGTGCTATTTAATTTGTTTATTTATCCTCTTTACAGCAACCGGCGCGCCGGCGGCCGTTTTTATGTTTTTAAATGTTCTGCTGGCAATAGCAGATGTATTTTGAACACCAAACCCCAAAAGCTGTATATCATTTTAAAGCTTATTTTCTTATCTACATTTATATACAAGTGTAAACTACATCAGACTTTGCATTCAAAAGATATAACACATAAATCAATTCCGAAATAGTTTTTTACCTTTGGGCTTGTGCTGTTGTTACGGGCTAGGCCTTATGGGGGGCCTGGGCCTTTTCCTGTGTCTCCGTCCTGCCGCTCCTGTCTCCTGTGTGCACAGGGGGGACCAGTTGGCGCTGAAGCAGTGGGCGTGTTCGCACACGCAATCAGCGCACGCGCATATAGCCTGGTGGATAGGTGCACGCGCTCTCTCTGCGCGCTCCTGAGGGCCATTCCACTCCTGCCCTGGTGCCTGTTGCATCTCCTCCCTGGCTCTCCTTCAACATGCACTATTGAGTTTGTCTTTTGGTTTATGCACCTACATTCATATCGCACATACGGTGCCCTCACTGCACACAAGCATTACCTGCACCTACACCACTGACTTTTACATAACACACCCCATATTTACCTTTTTGTATATATTATTTGTTATTCCGTTCTCTCAATTAAATATACTTTTTGAGCACTTTAATTCCGCCTCGTCTCCCCTATTCTTGTTGTGGCTCAGAGCCAAGCCATAACAGAATTGGGGGCTCGTCCGGGATGAATCCGCGTTTTTTGAGTAGTATTAGTCTAATTTGGCATTTTTCCGTCATCCCTTTTGGATTTGGTTTGAGCGCTTTGTCTCATTGGACTGGTTATTTGTGGCTTTGTGCCGTTTGGAGAAGTCCGTGAGTTTGAGTGACAGTCTTGGGGTGATTCCTCACTGACGTCAGTGCCCGTTTATGGTGTTGCGGGTTGCGCTCTTGGGGGGACGTGCCGGAAGTGTTTGGAGGTGCGGAAGAAGTTTTGTGTTGCTCCGTGTGCTCTGGGTTCAGGCCGCTGCGGCGGGTTAACAACTAAGGTAAGTGTATAACTTCTAATGTACTGTGTTTAAAGACTGGGAATCTCTGCTAGGCTTAGCGAGTTTCCCTCTAGGGGATCCTTCGCATTGGTGTGTTTAGTGTGGAAGTTAAGAGCGGGTCGCAACTTCCCATTTCCCCATTCCCTACATCGGCTCGGGAGCGCGCCGTGGTTACAGGATTGCCAGCTCGGTAGTCTTTTTTACCAGCGGTATCTGGCGCATAAGAACCCATCGCCACGCTTCCCGAAGACTAGGGTTGAGCTTAGTCAGTTTTGGGGTAGGTAGTGAGTGGGATATCCCTGTCTTTTGTTTTACATTAGTAAGATATCACTTGGTGTGTTGTTTTGTAGCCATGGAAGGAGTCGTTGAAGATTTTGTTGAATCTCCATGTCATTCTGGCTTGGATATTTTCACAAAGAGACAATTGATTGCATTGGCTGAGCATTATGGAGTGGACATTGGAGATACTAGAAGGCTTAAAGACGTTGTTAAGTCTGAGTTAAAGTTTAAGTTGATTGAGAGGGGAGTTTTGAAGGAGGAAGAGCAGCCTGCTGCTGCAGCTTCATTGTTTTGGAAACCATTGCAGAGTTCTAATTTGTCTTTTGAGCAGCAAAAAGAGCTACTAATGTTACAGTTAGGTCTTGAACAGGAGAAAGAAACAATGAGGCAAAGAGTAGAACTGGCTAAAATTGAAGTGGAGCGTGAGAGACTTGAACTGATGAGAACAGGAAGGTTTGGAAGTTTGAGTCAAGGCGAGAGACCTTCAGGAGAACATGGAAGTAGAGATGAACTGAGTGATTTGAAATTGGTTCCAAAGTTTAATGAACAAGACCCAGAGACGTTTTTTTCTTTGTTTGAGCAATTATCAGAGGCACGGGGGTGGTCTGATTTAACATGTGTGCTAATGCTACAATGTGTTTTGACGGGCAAAGCGCAACAGGCTGTGTCTGCTCTGGGGAGTGTGAGAAGTTCCAGTTATACAGATGTTAAGGCCGCTGTCTTAAAAATTTATGAACTGGTCCCTGAAGCATACCGTCAGAGGTTTCGTGGTTGGAAGCGTGGTGAAAAGTCACATTTGGAGTTCATGCGTGATTTGACTACACATTTTGAGAGCTGGTGTTCTTCAGCTGGGGTGAAGACACTTTGTGATTTGAAAGAGTTGATCCTGATGGAGCAGTTTAAGAACTCTGTTTCAGAGCGCATCTCTGTTTACATTGGTGAGCGTGGGGTAAAAACTGTTAAGGATGCAGCGGTACTGGCCGATGACTTTTACTTGACTCATGCTATAGGTAATTCTCCTGGCGCTGGTCTGAGTTATCGGGAAGATAAGCCTAGGTTTGTTCCAAGAGGAGCACCTGAAGGGGAGGCTAAAGGTGGCAGATTGTGGCGTGACTCTGAAAAAGTTTGTAACTATTGTCATAAGAGGGGTCACTGGAAGAATGACTGCTACGCATTAAAAGGCCGTTCTAGTCAGGGCTCACCAGGCCGAAAGCCTACTATGTGCACTGTGTCCGCGGCAGGTCCGAAAGTGTCTGAGGTTACTCCAGAGTTGCAGTCATTTTTACCGTTTATTACAGAGGGTTTTGTTTCTCTAGTGGGCAGTGATGAACGGGTGCGTGTTAGGATTTTGCGCGATACTGGCGCTGGTGACTCGTTTATTGTAGCCTCGGCCTTGCCTTTTTCTTTGGAAACTTCTGTGGGCTCAGATATGCCTGTAGTGGGAATGGGCCTCCAAGTTGTTAATGTGCCTCGTCACAAAATTTTGCTGCACTGTGATTTTTTCCAGGGAGAAGTGACTATAGGAGTGCGTCCTGCGCTGCCTGTGGATGGAGTCTCACTCATTCTTGGGAACGACATTGCAGGGAGCAGAGTCTGGGCTGATATTCCACCTCCAGCTCAGGTTACGAGTTCTCCTGTGGTTCACAGTAAGCCTGATGAAAATGAGTTGCAGTTCCCTGAGGTTTTTAAAGCTTGTGTGGTCACACGCTCAAACAAGCTAAAAGCTAAAGCTGAGAATGTAGTTATGGATTGGGCTTTGTCTGTGCCTGTTCTTCCCTGGTCAGTTTCTTGCAGTGATTTGGTGAAGGAGCAGAAGGAGGATGAAAGTCTGAAGGAGCTGTGTGAAATGGTTTGTCCTGCGGCTGAGGTCAGGAATCTGGCTAAATGTTACTTTTTGCACAATGAGATCGTGATGAGGAAATGGACACCTCAATTGGAGGGCTTTGTGGGGGAACCTGTGTATCAGGTTGTGGTGCCTGTGAAATTTCGAGCAACTGTTTTACAGATTTCGCATGACCAGGGTGGCCATCTTGGGGTGAGGAAGACTTATGACCGCGTGCTCAGGTATTTTTTCTGGCCACGGTTAAAAAGGGATGTCTCCTCCTACATAAAGTCCTGTCACACTTGCCAGCTAACAAGCAAGCCGAACCAGTCCTTGGAGCCAGTCCCGCTTAGTCCAATTCCAGCTATTGGGCAGCCTTTTGAGCAGTTACTTATAGATTGTGTGGGGCCTCTGCCGCCTGCTAGGTCTGGTGCAATGTATATGTTAACTGTGATGTGTCGGAGCACACGATATCCTGCTGCATATGCTTTGCGCAGCATTACAGCTAAGAATGTAGTCAAAGCGTTGTCCCAGTTTATTTCTGTCTTTGGTGTTCCTCGTGTGATTCAGACGGATCAAGGGTCAAATTTTTGTTCCAAGTTATTTGATCAGGTCTTGAGACAGCTAAGGATTAAACACAATTTTTCCTCTGCTTATCATGCTCAGAGTCAGGGAGTTTTGGAAAGATTTCACCAAACTCTTAAATCAATGTTGCGTTCATTCTCTGTGCAGATGCAAAGCGATTGGGAGGAGGCGTTACCCTGGATGCTCTTGGCCGCTCGTGAGGTGGTACAGGAGAGTACAGGTTTTAGCCCCAATGACCTTGTTTTCAGCCATAAGGTTCGTGGTCCTCTAGCGCTTTTGCGGGATGCCTGGATAGAGTCTGATCCACCTAGCAACCTTCTGGATTTTGTGAATGGGTTCCGGTACCGGTTGTACAGGGCGCAGGAGGTGGCTAAAAAATGGTTAGCTGGTGTGCAGGTTAAGATGAAGAAACAATATGACCGCCACACGGTCCAGCGGGAGTTCTTGCCTGGTGACCAGGTCCTAACCCTGTTGCCGTTAGTTACCTCTCCTTTACACGCTAAGTTTTCTGGTCCATTTACGGTGTTGGAGAAATTGTCAGATTTGAACTATTTAATTTCGACACTTGAGCGCAGGGCTAAAACTCAGTTATGTAATGTAAATCTGCTTAAGCCTTATGTTGCTCGTGAGGTGACTCAGTCTGGAGCTCACCCTCAGAGGTTGTCGGTTTCTTTGGTGGCTGTGGCAGAGCAAGTTGTGGAGGAGCCGACAGACCCTGATGACGCATTAGTAACTGGGCGTCTTAAGAATAAGGAGTTTCTGGAGACCTTGGAAAGCTCTTTATTGTATTTGGAACCGGCTAGGCAGTTACAGTTGGTACAGTTGATTCGTCAGTTCCCTGGGTTGTTTGGGGATACTCCGTCGCGCACTACTCTCCTGAAACATGACGTTGATGTGGGTGATGCAAACCCTATTAGACAGCGCTTTTATCGTGTTCATCCGGATAAGCTAAAGTTGCTTGACAGTGAAGTGGCATATATGATTGATAACAACATTGCAGTGCCCTGTGATTCCAGCTGGGCTTCGCCATGTCTGCTTGTCCCAAAGTCAGATAATACACCTCGCTTTTGCACTGACTTTCGTAAGGTCAACGCGGTGACGAAGCCTGACTCCTTTCCCCTTCCTCGTATGGAGGATTGCGTGGACCAGGTGGGGGGGGCGAACTTTGTCACCAAATTGGACTTACTTAAGGGGTATTGGCAAGCCCATTGACGGACAGGGCAAAGCAGGTCTCATCATTCATTACTCCTACTGGTTTGTATTCCTATAATGTCATGCCATTCGGGTTGAGGAATGCGCCAGCAACATTTCAGCGCTTGATGAATATTGTGGTGCGGGGTCTGAACGGGTGTGCTGTCTATTTGGATGATGTGGTGGTCTATTCAGATGGCTGGGATGACCATCTACGTCGGCTAAAGGCAGTTTTTGGGCGCTTGTCTTGGGCTAACTTGACCGTTAACCTTGCTAAATGTGAGTTTGCCAAGGCGACTGTCATTTATTTGGGCCGAGTGGTTGGTCAGGGCTCGGTACGACCCGTTCGAGCCAAAGTTCAAGCTATTGACATTTTTCCGCAGCCTACTACTAAAAAAGAGCTAATGAGGTTCCTGGGTATGGTTGGCTACTATAGGTGCTTTTGTTCCAACTTTTCAACTGTGGTGGCGCCATTGACAGATCTGTTAAAATCTAGGGTTACATTTGTCTGGTCTGATTTGTGTCAGAGGGCATTTGAGAGGGTTAAAGCTCTCATTTCAAACTCCCCAGTGTTGGCTGCTCCTAAATGGGATAGGCCTTTTCAAATTGAGGTGGACGCTAGCCTAGTGGGGGCAGGGGCGGTGTTGCTTCAATCTGATGATGCGGGTGTTCGGAAGCCTGTCTGCTTTTTCTCAAAAAAGTTTAATAGACATCAGTTAAACTACTCAGTTATCGAGAAGGAGACGTTAGCTCTTGTGTGGGCTTTACAGCATTTTCGGGTGTATGTGGGCTCAGGGACAGTGACTGTTTTTTCTGACCATAACCCGCTAACCTTTCTCAGTAGCCTGCAGTCTCCAAATCAGCGGCTCATGCGCTGGGCCCTCCACCTGCAGTCTTACAGCCTGGACATCCAGCATATCCGGGGCCGGGACAACGCTGTGGCCGATGCGCTCTCCCGGGCGCATTAGGCCGTGAGGAAGCCTGGAGCTTCGTCCCCGCCGTGCTATGCTACGCCGGGACGGCACGGTGGGATTCCCGTGTCCCGGGGCCAACGAATGGTGCGAGGTACGCCAAAATCAGTTTGAGAGGGGTCGAAATCAAGTTAAAAGTAATGCTGACCGGTTGGTTCCTTCTCCTGGGACTCTTTTATCTGCTAAGTGTAAGCAACGCAGTTAGTTTTGTTTCTGTGGGCTGGTCTAGGACCCATTATGGGCCCTTTCCTGAAGGGGGGGGGGTGTTACGGGCTAGGCCTTATGGGGGGCCTGGGCCTTTTCCTGTGTCTCCGTCCTGCCGCTCCTGTCTCCTGTGTGCACAGGGGGGACCAGTTGGCGCTGAAGCAGTGGGCGTGTTCGCACACGCAATCAGCGCACGCGCATATAGCCTGGTGGATAGGTGCACGCGCTCTCTCTGCGCGCTCCTGAGGGCCATTCCACTCCTGCCCTGGTGCCTGTTGCATCTCCTCCCTGGCTCTCCTTCAACATGCACTATTGAGTTTGTCTTTTGGTTTATGCACCTACATTCATATCGCACATACGGTGCCCTCACTGCACACAAGCATTACCTGCACCTACACCACTGACTTTTACATAACACACCCCATATTTACCTTTTTGTATATATTATTTGTTATTCCGTTCTCTCAATTAAATATACTTTTTGAGCACTTTAATTCCGCCTCGTCTCCCCTATTCTTGTTGTGGCTCAGAGCCAAGCCATAACACTGTACAAATAAATCAGCTCTCCTCCCAGCTTGCAATACATCATTCTCTCTGGAACAGTCCAAAGGAAAATTATATCCACTTGTATTTCCCAAAGTAAAATCCATTCTGCAGAAATAATCAAAAAATGTGCATTTATCTTTAGCGAAAAAAACGAAAAAAAAGAGCACAGATGTTACTCTTTCACTTTTGACGGACTTTTAGCTTTGTTTTTCACCCAAACATCTGGTATCTACGTGTTCCTTAGCTCCTTATCTTTCAAATGAGACTACTCCCGAAAAGCTAGACCAATTTTTGGGTCTGCAATAGCTCCCATAAGTACAGCTAGTGCTGCTGTTTGCGCATGGTTCTCTGATCTTTGTTGTGATCCCAACTTGTTTGCTTTTACTTCCGGGATTTACGATTGACATGTCCTTGTAGCCAATGAGGAAAGCTTTCTAACAAGGGGTGGGACAATGGTGTCCTGTCTTATGTTGTGCCTGTAGAATTGTGCGTAATGGAAGCCAAAAGACGCTCTCGAAGCTGCAATGAATTTACACTCATAAAAAAATAACTTTGACATTTAAAAAAGAAAAACACACATAGATTAGTAACTTATAAGTACCAATAATAAAAAATATTGTTTTTATGATGATTAAATGTAAGTAAAGATATTTGGCACAATTTGGCACACTTGTGCCAAATTGTGCCAAATGTGCACTACTTGATGAAAAGGAGAAACTGCATAAAAACTATAAAACTTAGAAGTCTGAAACTTTAGACAGTTGTTGTCAACAACACAATGAACAGAGGGTTTGAATATTGTGAACTTACAATGAAGTATGTGTCATGGTGTGGACTTTTTGGATTATTTTAACCTGGTTTTATTTACTTTTAGTTCTCTTGTATTTTGAGTTTTCCTGATTCCAGTGTGTCCTGTTGATTGTTATCCCCGCCCTAATGTGATCCACCTGTGTCTCCTGTGTGTGTATATATACCCTGTGCTTTTCCCCACTTGTTGTCCGTCCATTGTCTCTACCAAGTTTGTCTTGTCTAGTTTTTCAGTTCTGGATTTTTGTGCCTTTGTCTCTCTGGATTTCGATTTTTATTAAATTACATTTGATTTTCAGTCCTGCATTTTGGGTCCTTCCTTGTTTACCCGTGACAGAATGAACCAACCATTATTGGACTCCGCAGACTGCTTTTCTTTTTTACCCACACCTTGATAATTTTTCTGGACCTCATCTCTGCCATCTTGCCTACATGCCTTCTGCCAGTTGTGGACCTCACCTTGAACCACCGCCAGATAAGAATTCCATCTGGGGTGGTCTCCTGTTTTTCCCTCAGAGCCACTGCCGGGCATTTTGTCTCCGCCTGGGGTGGTTCCCTTTGCTCCTGTCCTGACCTGGAGGTCTACACTGGGTTCCAGCTCCTGCGTGTTCCTTGTCCCTGACCTGAGATTCTGGCCGTACCTCTCCCACCATCAGGTTTTGTGCATTTTTTTTCTCGTCTGCTCCCCACTGATGACCTCTCTACCTCCGATTTGTAACCATCGCCAGACAAGTGTTCCGTCTGGGCTGGTAATCTTCGGTTTCTGTGTCTGGGCCACCGCCGGGCATCATGCTCCGTTCGGGGTGGTCTTCTGTTCCCCCGTCCTGTTGGAGGTCGTCACTGGGCCCCAGTTTTCCACCCACCTGGTCTGGTCACTGTTGGACTTTTCTGTACCTTCGTCTCTCGTTTTGTCATGGACAAGTCATTTGAAATGTGCCACCGTGGACTTCCAGTAATATTCAGTCTTTTTTTTTTTCCTTCTCCCCCCCCCCCCCAACACCCTCCTGGGCTCCTGCGTCTTGGGACATCTGGGAGCTGTCCTTTTGAGGGGGGATACTGTCATGGTGTGGACTTTTTGGATTATTTTAACCTGGTTTTATTTACTTTTAGTTCTCTTGTATTTTGAGTTTTCCTGATTCCAGTGTGTCCTGTTGATTGTTAGCCCCGCCCTAATGTGATCCACCTGTGTCTCCTGTGTGTGTATATATACCCTGTGCTTTTCCCCACTTGTTGTCCGTCCATTGTCTCTACCAAGTTTGTCTTGTCTAGTTTTTCAGTTCTGGATTTTTGTGCCTTTGTCTCTCTGGATTTCGATTTTTATTAAATTACATTTGATTTTCAGTCCTGCATTTTGGGTTCCCTTTTTCTTCATGCAACCACGTGACAGTATGCCTTTTTTAGGGCCTTTAGAAATTGAAAATGTTAGACGAGGCTAAAAAAATTGGGTTTTTTTCCCTAACTTCAAAGGATGCAGAGGAAAATAGGAATGACAAACATTATTTTAGTGTTTTTTTTACATAAACTAGAAGGCTCTAGCTTTAAAATGATGCATCAAACAAGCATGTGAGATGTAAGATGTGTTTTTAAATAAGCAAAGACATTTGGGTATGCCCAACCATTGTGCACGAGCCAAAATGAGGCGGATGTTAAATATACATCTTTATAATTTATACATCTATGTATTCAAATGTGACTTTATTATACCTCTAAAACTGGCAGACGTGTGTGTGTGTGTGTGTGTGTGTGCGTGCGTGTCTGGGCAGCACTTTCTTTATAAAACAGACTCTTTATAAAATGTCCTATATACAGTAAATAAAGTGTATTGGACTAGTTTGATTAAATACAACATCTAATCTTCATGATTGCGATGGTCACAAACCGTAACAGACGGGAGGAGTATTGGGCCTGTTCCTTGTCCCAAATTGTGAATCATTCTGATCGAGGTTTAAAGGTCCTATATCACGCTTTTCTTCATGTTTCACACTCAGTCCTATACACATGTGTGATATTAATGTGTATGATACACCACACAACAATCAAAGCTTGTGAGATTAGAGCCATCTCTTGTATAGAGGTGACGTCACCTCGACTCAAACGAGCTGATCCAGAGAAGAGTCTGCTCCTCTGCCTGTGAGCCCGCCTCCCCCCGCCCGCACGGTGACGTAGCATCACGCTTTTGTCGTTTATCACCTGTACTTAGTAATTTCATACATAAGAATAAACTTTTTCCAACAATGACAATCCGTCACATCGAGCCCTATGTCCTGTATCAGACCCTAGTTATTTAGTTTACAGAAGTATACAGCGAGTTAGCGTCACTACTTACAGATCGAGGGGGTCCGAGTTACGTCTTTTACCGTGGGAATAACGTTTTTCCAGATCAGCTTTTGAGTAAGTCCAGTTCCATTGTCCCTGTAGTTCTGGAACAGTCTCAGTGAAGTGTCGCAGATGAACCGGTATTATAATAGATCCATGAGATGAACAGATGAAAAAAGTCGAGCCGCTTTCTTCCTCTTAGGGCCAAATAGTGTGTCACATATTTACACCCATAACACACTTCATTCAAGTTGACGTGATCCTAACACTTTTAGTTGCTGACAAAAGCATAAAAACAGCAGCTCTATGTGGTGTCCGCGAGACCAGACCACAGACGCTGGACTCGGGAGCCGGAGTCTGTGCGCTCTGATTCGCTGTTTTGATCCGTCAATCACCTCCCGCCGGCTTTTAATTTATTTTTATTTTTATTATTTTTGACAAAAAACAGCATACTAATTGTGTATTGTTTACCCCGTTTTGACAAAAGTATTTAACAACTATTTTAAATACAAAGCAAACGGGGTCATGCGCGTCATGCGCGTCATCAGTGTGGTTTTTGTCACTGAAGTGGACCCGAGCGTTTCTGTGCCTCACACTGGGGAAGGAGACAGATTGCTCTCTTACAAAAGATTGACAGAATCAATGAATAAACTACTGTGGGCTTGTGTATGAAGGCCAAATAGCATTGTAATCATGTTTAAAGCAGAGAAAAGTGCAAAAACCGTGATATGGGCCCTTTAATGTATTGACAGGACAATATGAATGGCATTATATCACACATCAGACACGATGACACATAAAATAAACCCCTCTTGTGTCGAATGCATGAATAAGTGTCTGATGAAAAGAGAAATGCGTTGGGACTGATGCAACTGCACAGACTTACATGTCATTGTGCAGTAAATATAGTGCCAGCAGCTGAGCGTAAACTTGAGGTGTTGCGATGCCCCCTGGCGCCTGTCAAGGGAAACACAGTCAATAAGCATTAGGACTACGCCAATAATCAAGGTAATTTTTAAAGTCACAGCTTTTTTCATCAAAAGAATGCAAAAAAAAAATAAAAATATCCGTTAAATATGTTAGCAAAATATAAAAGCCACTCTGTGTGGACAACTATGCATTTCATATGATACATCTCTGGCATTCAAACTTGTTAATAAACGTGTATTTAACGTTGCACGTGTTTTCATTTGCTACAGTATGACTAGGAACCAAGTAAACATTGACACTAAATCACATTGACTCTCTAACACAATGGAAAAAATGCATATTGCAGTGTTAATTCTGTTGTGTTATGCTATGAGCTAACAAGCTAGCTTAGCACACCCAGTAAAACTATCATCTGTTCGTGTTTTTTGCTAATTCTTTTGAAATAACCAGTCATGACATTTATGCATGGTTGAGACACCAGAACGGAAGGAACGGTGTGAATGAAAATCTCAAAACAGCCTAGAAATAGTCACTAATCCCATTAGCGTTGCCCCGACAGGCTAATGCTAGCTAGCTGTCACAACAACACTGAAAGACACGGGGCAACAGCAAAGACAAGCTACAAATGATAAATGATCAGTATTTAA